AATAACCAAAAACGAAAGCATAATAACGTAAATTCAATGTTCGACCTGTGGTGCCTGAATTGTGATTCCAGCTGTGGTTGTTTCCATCACGTGATCAAATGATCCTGCATATCGACTGACCTTAAACGATCGTCGAATTAGTACCAACATTTCAAATCAAAAATATTTCGATCAGTCAAAATATCAGCTATCGAGTCAAAATACCAGCTATATCAAAATCAAGTTAAACTTCATGATTGCATCACTGTACTCACGTCGGTTGACGTTCCGCCCATATCGAAGCCGATCACCGGTTGCTTGGTAACATCATCGAATGCAGTCAACGACACACCAACAATGCCAGCGGCTGGACCGGAGAGAATCGCTCGCGATCCGGAAAACCTGAAAAACGCAGCGTAAATAGTGNAATCCTCCATCGCTTTGCATGAACTCAACACGCACTCCCTTCAAACCTTTCGCGAATCCAGCGTTGAAATTGGTAATATACTCTCGGATCTTCGGTGTTAAATATGCATCAGCACAAGCTGAAAACGATTATGAAACGAATTCCGAAAATCTGCGCGATTTAAGACTAACTTTGAGAGAATCACTGAATTTGCTTAAACCGCATTCATGAAAGTCAGTTTTTTTTGGGGATTTCATCTTCTTCAAGTGAACCCTTCTCTCACGTTTCCTGACTAAGAAAATTATCATACACGGGTACGTGTTGCACGCAAAACCACCCAAAAGGTAGAGATGATTAAAGAGCTTCTAAATTCATGACATCCTTTGAAGTGATCACAATATGTTGTAAGTCGAACCTGTATAACCTCTAGGCACAATTTTTATCATTGGCATCACATCGCTCGACAGTGAAACATTCGTGAAACCAATTTCTTTGGCTATTCTACCCGCTAGTCTTTCGTGATTTGGATACCTGCAACAATCTCACGTTTTTAAGGAACCAACATTCGCAAGCAGTTTTACATCTGCTCTCAATTGAATGAAATTGAGATAACACAT